CTTTAAGAATGTTAAGCAATTGCATGTTAACCTCCTCCTAGAGATTTTAGCATATTCAGGGACAACCCGTCTGGGTCCATCCGAAGGAAACTAGCTACAGATCAGAGGAGGCCTGCTCTCCACTGTCCTTGGCTACTGCAGAAATTGCAGTAAACCCCACCTGTGTTAGCCACACCAGGAAACAATTTACAAAACACACACATATTCAAGATGACTCCAGGAGACTGAAACGGGGCTACCTAAACATCAAATGCCATGCAGGAAATGAATTAGTTTGCTACCCAAAAGAGAGCCGGGAGTCTCAAAAAAGGAAACCTTATCAATGTGGGAAAAAATTACCTACAAGGAACGTAAGTGAAAGTAACACTTTTCCCCAAAATCTCTTTTCTCTTGTTCTTTCCATAGGCAGTCTCTAGACCCAAACTCAAACCTTCAGTGGTTCAAAGTCAGTCCCACACCACAGTCCAGAACACATCCTGACTCCTCGGCCATGACTGGAGACCCCAGCATGGTTCCATGCAGCCCACCCTCTCCTCAGCAGCAATGCCAAGGCTGAGCAGAGAAGGCAGCTGGAGTTGCTGACCATGCCACGTGAGTTTCACAGATTCCTCTGGTTTATGTGGCTCTGAGAAAGAAATCCACCTCTGTGGGTCCCCCCTAAACTCAAACTTACAGAACAATTTCTGCCAACACTAATATAAGGCAGCCAAAAACTACTCCCAGGGAGACACAGAAAACTTATTACAGCCCTGAATTAGACTTCTGGGACTTGAAATTTCCTCATCCTCCTGGGGGGGAAAGGAGCTTGCAGATCTCAACAATAGGGAACATCTAATTCCTCGGCCTCATCTTACCAATGAAGACATGGGGCCCCTGCACCTGGCCTGTGTTGGCACAGTCCCTCGACAGCAGGTCCAGGGCTGCTACCAGGTCTTTGGGATGCAGACTCGGGACTTGCTCTCCTTTGCACCATGATGTGGTCCTAATCATCGTTTTATACCTAAGTAAAAGATCACAGAACATCACTGAAACTAAATGCTAAAAACTAATGATAATTAGCATGAACCCCTCCACTAAAAGTGCTAAGATTTTACAGGGTCAAAATAAAGACCAACTGGATAAATTTCTGCCTACCAAACACCTGTGAAACTAAAGAAGCCATGTACTTATATATGCGGATGGACATTTAGGCACATCAGCCAGGGCCAAAGTCCTCAGAAAACGGGACAAGTGTTTGTTTCCATTTTTAGTGTCTTTGGCTACTTTTGGGGTGTGTTTTCAATGCAGTCCCTTCCATGTGTTTAGCACCATTTCATTGAACTAATATGGCCTCACTAGCCAAGGTGGTACTGGCACTGCATAGTCTCACTAGCCTGGGTGGTACTGGTGCTGGTGCCTGGGTGGTACTTGCCTTGCAGCCTCCACATCCAGCTGCTTTCCCAGGCAGCTTCTCTTCAAAAATGACCTCTACCTGCAACTAAGATTCAAAGCCACGAGGCTTCAGAGGAAGTCGGTATGTGGGCTTATTTTCACACTCGTATGTAAATACCTGATTGAAGCTCCTGAAAGCAGCAGTTTTACCCTCTGGCTACCTGATAGGAAAGGAAATGACTCAGAAATATTCTCTTGTGGTAGATTAGGGGATAGGGGCCTTGAAACCCAGCAATACAACATTCTGCTTAGGATCACTCTAATGGTAAATTAAAAACACAGGGACAGAAAGAGGACACCTGGGTCAGAGAGGTGAGTCTATGTGACTTTACCACAGGACAAAAAGAGAAACTGAAATGTCATTACGATTCATTTTTCTTGGAACAAGCTGTCACTGCAAGCCAAAGGGGTCTGTCAAAACAAACACCTCATGACACTGCTGACCAGTGAGGTAAGCTGGTCCATGACACATGCCCCGCCCTGCTTCACAAGGCTCCTGGACTCCTGGACCCCAACTGTAACCAATGCTTGTAGCTCTTTTGAGGACAATCATAACAAGTCATCAAAAAGCAAGTTCATTCATTAACAATGTCTTAGTTACCAGATTGACTCAATCACAGAAACCTAAAACAAGGTACCTAATGAAGTCCAGTGGGATAGTGGCCTAAAGAGGCTCTGCCTGGAGATTCTGAATTTTCAGTGCACAAAGGAACTAGAAAGTGAAAAAATGTGTTTGCCTCTATGCTGCAGAGGAAGAAGTGTGTCCAGCATGCATCACACTGTGCAGTGTCCTGGTCCCCAGACCCAACTACTTTTAGAAGAAATACCAAGCCAATTAAAGATCTCAATGGAGGAAAAAAAATGGCCTTTTGTCTGTCTCATTTGTTTCTGCTTTCTGTCTATCCTTAAACATCCTAATTCCCAAAAACAAACTAAAATAAGTACAACAAAATACAGCCAAAAATTATCCCCAGTGAGCTAAGGAAAACGTATTACTGCCTTGAATTAGACTCGGGTCTTGAAACTGCCTCACTCCCCTGGAGAAAACAGAACTTGCAGATCTCACAAAATGTAAGGTGCCATGGTGCTTTGTAAACAAGTTAGAACAGGGAGACACACATCTTCCCCAGGACCGCATCTAAGAGAGTGGATGGCCACTAACAGCTGCAGCCGTCCCAAGGAAAGAGGCATTTTTCAGGTCAAGTGTGAAATGGTTGATTCCCTACTCCCAAATAAATCTTAGTTCTGGGCCACAATTTCTGGTGGCCTCCATGTAGCTGATGGCCTTCGACAGCCCTGTCTAATGTGCCTGGGTGAAAAAAGCACTCCGGAGCTTGGAGACTGTAGTTGAACTTCAGAGATATTTGTGGCGCCCTCAGGGCAGCTGGACACTTGGAAACAAACATAAGAACTCACAGCACCTGGTCAACAGCTGCTCTGGAGGACAGTATGGAACGACCCACAACAGCTTGCAATCAAAGAGGCGGCCCCTGGGGACACAAGCCCACCAGCAAGCCAGCACAGGAATGCACTGACCATGGAGTCTGCGAGAGACAAACGCTTCTCTCCTGGGTGAAATGAGAACAGTCCTCAGCAAGACTGCCACAAAGATGCCACAAAGGCATCTTCGAATCTGTACCAATTTTCAGATTATTATAGCTGATGACTCAATGCATGGTTTACAAATTTAAGTCTCAATAAACGTATATGGGACTTCATGGGTGCTATGACAACTGGAAAGGGGCGGGACAGGCGTAGAGGGGAAGGCTACAGGAAGACTTTGCTCAAGCTCCTGTATTTCTGATGCAGAGGCACCTGGAAGCATCTCTCAGTTAAAATTCAAACAATGGAAAGGAAAGAGAAAACAGGTCAGACCCAGTTCTGGGCTGAATGGACACCTCCAAAAAGGACTTACTTGACATGACAAGTGGGCTCGTTTCTGGAAACCAAGAGGTCACACTTCTCCTCCAACTGGGTACAAATGCCACCTTCGTGTCTTAATATCTGAGGGGTCCGCTCTGTAAACCTCTTTTCTTAAAAACAGAAAAAGGTTCTCTGATAATCTTATCTGCATTTGTCCCTGACAGTACCAGGCAGAGCAGAAAACCAAAGATGACTCGGGGTTCACTGCAAATTCCACACCTGATCAACGGAATGTCAACAACTACAGTGAAATGCTAGCATTAAAAGCCAAAGTAGCCCACACACTGTGAGTGTGATGCTCCAGGACGCCTGTGTCCCTTAAAAGAGCCCCCCCCACTCCCCTCCCTCCCTCCCTCCTCACAGTCTCACCTCCTCTCTCTCTCTCCTCTCTCCTTTTCTCTCTCCTGGCTCAGATGCTGCCTCTTGTACCCCACAAGATCCAAGGGCTCCCATTTCCCCAGATGGACTTGTTGCTGCTCCTTACCACCTCGTCCTTCAAGGCTCCCCTCAGTGTTTATCCTGTCTAACTCTGACCACACAGATGTCAGGGGAGGTCAGTCAACACCGTGTACCAGGCAGCTGCTGTCCACATGCCTGAGAGTGCAGCTCACCCAAGCCTAGCCCTCAGCAGAGCCTACACCTCCCTTACTCGGTGACAGTGCTTCTCTGTCTGTCCTCCAGCATCACCCCAGGAGCCACCTAATAAAAAAGTAAGTGGAGAGGGATAGAAAGACAAGCCAGGGAGATGGTACCCCATGGTGTCCAGTGACCCTCTGCTAGGTGATCTCACAGAACACTATTGCCTCCTGGGACATTCATCGCTGTGCCCTCTATTTTTTAAAAGAGGGACTGCACGTACTTGATTTGGAAAAACTACTTACACTCAGAAAGCACAGATGCTGTGGAGGGAGAGCTTGGTCACCGCATACACACTGGGCTGCTGCGATTCCTATTCCTACCCACAGCAGGAATTGGACATCTCAGAAAATTCTATGACTGAGCTCTGGCTACCTTCCAGTTCAGTACTGCAGGAAATAGCCTGGGGCTGAGTATCTAACCTCTCTGCCTCAGTTTCCTCATCTGTAAACTATCAAATACCTCTAAAGGGTTTTTACAGTCCCCCAAAATATTGCCCCAAGCACCATGTCATTTTCCTACCCTTAGTAGCTACTGTGGTGCACCAGGAAGTCAGACAGTGGACACTTCCAGGGAACTGGTTTTCAACAACAATGCAGACCCACACAGTGGTGCAGTCTCGTGATCCCAGCACTTAGAAGTCGGAGGCAATGGGTTAGAAGCTCAGAGCAGCATAGGTTATGTTAGATCCTATCTTAAAACACCAACAAATAAACTACAAATGCAAAAAATATGTTAAGCCATAAAATTATGAAAAATTAGGAAAGGAATGTATAATTGAGTGATATTATTGTGGCAGTTTTATGGTAGAGAGAAGAGAAGTTAGGCAGGAAGTTAGATCTTTTCCCTATGATGTGTTCTCTGCATATTCTAAAGGATTTTCCAAGAGACATTCTTAGCCTGTTGTACACTAGCTGTTCACAGTCGGATCTTACACACATTCTCATGCAGCAGCTGGGTTTTTACAGAGTGTACACATTTTCTATTTCTTCAACATCTACATCACATACCTTTTCTCTTTCTGTAGTGTCTTAAGGGAAACCTTTTCTTAAAAGACATTCGTGAATGGTCTCCCTGAAATAGAAACCAGTCATGTTAGCAGCTAATACTTCTCCCTCTGTCCAAAAGCAAGAAGTCCTCAGAACTGGATTATTCATCTATGGCAGAAACCTGAGACATGGTCCACCAAGTATCAGTCCACAGAAGACATCCAAGATGACCTGCCGAAACCCAGGAGTCAGCACTGAGAAGTCACCACCTCTCCTAGCCAGCCAAAGTCAGCATGAGTCTGCATGAGCCTAGATATCAGACTGAGGTGTAAGAAGTCTGTGAGATCACTACCATCCACATGAGCTCTAGGTTCCTCTGAGCCACTGTCCTGAGTGCTGGGCTTCAAGGGACACTTAGCTACCCAGATAGGGACCAGCATGGAGGCATTCAACTCACCAGTAGACCAAACTGGTCACTCCAAGATTTCTACCACCAATATATCCTCCAAACATGTTCTACATCAAAACTCACCCTGCTTCAACTCAGAAGCTGGAGAGTACCTCCCTCCTCTAAGCAGTCAGAAAAAATCACAAATTTTAAGTTAAACCCATCAGAGAGCTGATATCACAAGTGAAGATACAGCCCTGTAGATACATGACTGGAGCCTAGTTTTCCAGTGACAGGCCCAGGAGGGTAGCAAGGGTGCCTGGCAGGGTCATCAGAGGCTTTCTTCCAGGAGTATCCATGAGCTACAGGCAAGTACAAGGAGAGCTCACAGAATCTGGGGGAGCAAGGAAAGAATGTACGATGACCTGGGCGATCTCCCACAGGTCTTGCCTAGGCTCTCCCCTATACACCTCACTGGGTGCTCCCAGGGGATAGGAAAGGCCCCCACTATGAGGTCATCCAGAAGGGAGGGAGGGGGTGCTGCAGGAACCCTCTTCACTAAGAGGAGGACAGCAGAGCCTGCGCCCCTCAGGGCACTGGGGCAGGTTCACTGGAGGAGGAGAAGGAAGTGGAACAAAGCCCTGTCTCCCCTCTGGGACAGCAGCAAGGATCAGTTCCATGCCCCGACTATGGCATATCCCCAACCACTAGGAAAAAACAGGACAACTGGAAAATCCTACCTCTAGACTCAGGGACCAATCCACATGGACATGAAGCTTGAAACCAAACACACCACAAAAAAAGGCAGCACCTACCTACAACGGGCAGGCCACCAAACATCAGTGACAGCCAACAGGGGCAGGGCCAATGTCAGAACACGAGAGCCGAAGACAGGCTGGGAAAACGGACAATATATCTCCCTGAAAACCAGGCATGCACTCAGCACAGGGTAATAGCTGAGTAACCATAGCAACAACATCACTGAAATAACCTCCTGTCTGGGCTGATTCAAGGACCTTCTAAGACCCTAATGGAAGAGGAGGTGGCTGTGCTCCATGGCAGAGATATTGTCAGCCTCAGTCTACATAGCCTGGGTATGCCAAGTCCAACCCTACACCTGCTTTTGCACATAATTGTTTCTTAGGATACAAGCAGGCATCAGTCAAGCTCATGTATTATCTGCACCTGTGCCTGTCATTCAATAGAGCTGAGGAGCTGTGAGCCACTGATAAGGTCCATGGCATCTAAAGTATTTATTTTTAGGCATTTCACCATGGGGGGAAAAAAGGTTGCCACGATGTACTACACATGAGTTTAAGATTTTAAGTAAAATTTCTCAAACACATGCAAAAGCAAGAAAAATGACCTACCAAGAGGTCATGAAGCCACACATGGGACCAGATACTGATGTGTCCTGCATCCTGAAACCCTCCAAGAGAGGACTCTAGACAGCACTCATCAAATAATAGCTACTGATGCCGGAGCAAGCAGAAGGCAGCCTGTGGCCAGTCTAGCCTGCTGCCTGGTTGCCTACGTGTGCTCCTGGAATATGCTACGCCATTTCTTCCCACTTGCCCCTGACAGCAGAGATGAGGTGATGAAGAGAAACTACACAACCCCGAGACGAAATATTTGCTCTCCATCTCTTTAAGTAAAATTCCCCACACCCTGCTTTAGTAGAAGAGTAAATACCATGCATTAATGAATAGGAAATGTCACCAAAGAGAATGAACTATTAGGAAATATCAAATGGAAATGCTAGAAATCGTCTGAATGGCAATGGATGACAGATAGGTCCAGATATTAAGTAAAGTCAATGAAAAGTTCAACACAGTGGAAATGAGAAAGCTCAGGCTAAGGAGCACTCACAGGAGCCTGCCCTCCAGCTCAGCACTACAACACCTCCATCAGGATGTGGCCATCCATATACCGAAGCACATCACCGCCAACTTCACTTCTTAGAGTGATCCATGGCTCCCTAGGAGCTCACAGAACCACACAGGGGGTCAGCTAGGTCAAACCCTGACCCTGATAGTAGGAAGTTTCTTGAGCTGATGATGAAACACAAGAGGAGACCCATTAGCATCAAGACAGATCAAGCCACGGCTCTCCACAGGGCCCTCACTGCTGTGCACCGGCAATTTTGGAATAAAACTATTAACATTAAATGTTGAACTCCAGTCCATTCCTCTTAGTACTCTATGTAACTAAATGAAAAACCTATGCAAAGCAGTTCTGCTCTATATCCAGCACAGTCACCCCAAGGATAAGCACATGAGCTAACCACATGGTGGGTTAACACCATGGGATGGTGTTCTAACAGAAAAGCATGAATAGCAAGCTATGCTCATCCACTTGAGCCTGTGGCAGGCATTTTCTCTAACAAATTGAGGCTCCACTGTCAATGAAGACAATTGACAGTGTCTGTACCCAATGATAAGATTCGAGAGTTCAAAACCGAGAAGATATTTTAGCATATTCATGTGTGTTTGACATCTCTCTCAGAGCTAGAAGTCTTTTCTCTGGATATTGACAGAAATAATAATGTGTGTGTGACTTTTCAATGCCATATAATTAATGTGTGATCATCTGCATGACTCACTGAACCAGTGTTTTCCAAATGACCAATGCACTGTGGCACAAAACCATACGTGAGTAATAATCCACTCAAACCACAACATTTAATAATGGATTTTACTGATAGAAAAAAAAATGATAGAACGAAAGTTCATGAATGTGGTTTCTGGCTCACACTGCAGCTAATCCTTAAAAGACTACTGTGTGTCAAGCTTGGGTGTTGCACCCAAGAATGCTCAGAAGCACCTAAAAGGCCATTTAAGCATTTCTCCTTCCTCCCAAGGACATGCCTGTGTGAGGCTGAAAGTTCTTAGGCTATTTCAGGGGACTGATGCAGATGGACACAAGAAACTGCTTCCTTCCGTGAACCAAATACACTTGCCAAAAAGTGAAGACAGTACCTATGTTCTTACTCTTTGTAGAGTTTTTCATGAAAACTCTATTAATTACAGTAAATTTGATCATAGTTAATTTTAAATGAATCAATAGATATATCTTGTTAAAGTCCTCAGGTCCTAGATTATTGCTTCTGTTTGTGTTGTGTTTGTGCTTTGTGTTGTTTTGTGTTGTGTTGTATTGTGTGTTGTGGTGTGGTGTGTTTGTGTTGTATTATGTGTTGTGGTGTGGTGTGTTTGTGTTGTGGTGTGTTGTGTTTGTGCTTTGTGTTGTTTTGTGTTGTGTTGTATTGTGTGGTGTGGTGTGGTGTGGTGTGGTGTGTTTGTGTTGTGTTTGTGCTTTGTGTTGTTTTGTGTTGTGTTGCATTGCTGTGTGGTATGTTTATTGTATTGTGTGACATGTGTTTGTGTTGTATTGTGTGCTGTGTTGTGTTTGTGTTGTATTGTGTGGTGTGTTATATATTGTGTGTGTTGTGGTGTGGTGTGTTTGTGTTGTGTTGTGTTGTACTGTTTTAGTGGTTTTGCTGCTGAAGTTTGAACCCAGGGCCTCTCAAAGGCCAGGCAAATATTTTACCACTAAGTTACGTAACCAGACATTCTTAAAATTTTTATTTTAAAGAGATCTTCATTTCCTATCCTCTTGCCTCAGTGTTCTGAGTAGCCAGATATCTCAGTTTTAATTCCTAACATAGTAGCTACTGAAAGATACAACTCTCAATGCTTTGTGAATACTCATCAGTGTTTATAAGGACAAAGAGTCCTGACAGTGATGTCTGAGGAGTGATACTTGAAAGTGTTTAACATGGAGGCTTGAGACAATAACTCAGTAAATTACTAGCCACATAAGGACCTGAGTTCCACACTCACAACCCACAGAAAAAGCCAACCATGGTGCACACGTGTAATCACAATGCTGGAAAGGCAGTCATAGATAGATTCCCAGGGCTCTATGGTGAACCAGTCTAAAGTACTTGGTAAATTCTCAGCTAATGAAAAGCACTATTTCAAAATCTCTTCCTCTTTCTCAAACCCCTCTCCAAGGCTGGCCCACCTCCCTACAGCATGCCTCAACCTGTGGGATGTCCTTTGATTCTGAGCTCAATGACAGGGAAATCAGGTGACCAAATCCACAGCTGACCACTTCTTACTGTGTCTGAAAGTGGCACAGAACCTAGTCACCCTAGATCAGTGTGGTTCTCAACTTTGGGTCTTGACCCCTTTGTGGTCCCATATCAGATATCTTACATATCAGATATTTACATTATGATTCATAACAGTAGCAGAATTACAGTTATAAAGTAGCAATGAAATAATTTTATTGTTGGGGATCACCACAACATGAGGAACTGTATCAAAGGGTCACAGAGTTAGGAAGGTTGAGAACCACCGCCCTAGATAGATACTGAACCCATAGCATACACTAGATAGTTGTAGTTGTCTTAAGATATTTCAATTGTACAAGAATTTTACTAACAGCTTTCACATTGCAGTGTTTAAATTAGCAAAGAGATATTTCCATGTGGATTCTGGCTCAAGAGTTTTCTATTTTGTTTGTTTAGGTGGTTGGCTGGTTGGTTTAGAATTATGAGACAGAATTTATTAGATTGGCTTACATGAAAAAGGCTGGTTAGTCCCACAGTAGCTGTAGGTCTGAGAGGTTTAAAAAAAAAAAACAGTAGCTGTTCAGTCCAGGAAGCTGGAAGTCTCCAAATAAGAAAGACCAATGGTGTAGCCTTAGCCCATCAAGGCCTGGGAGCCTTGGAAAGTATAAGAGCTACTACTCAAACTAGAGTTGAAAGGCTGACAGATCTGGAGTCTGAAGTCCAGAAGTGATGGGAGCAGCATTTAAAAAAATTCACCTACTTGGTATGAGTTCAATTTAGATGGCTATGTGAGAGCTTCCCCCTTCTTTTTGTTCCCATTCTGGACCCCAACCCCTGACCCCCTAGCTGTAAATACAGGGTCTCATGTAGCCCATGTCGGCCTAACATCTATATGTAGCTGAGAATGACCTTGATCTGACTCAGAGGTTTTAGACCTCAGGCATGCTGAGGCCCATCCATCCCAGCTCAGTTAGTAGCTTCCATGCATAGAGTAGCCATCACACACACAATACAGGAGTGACAGGCATGTAGAGAGAAAGTCACTCAGGTTCCATGCACTCATGGAAATAGGGGAATTCAGAAGCATTTTACCTGGCCCCAAATACACCCGCAGGCTAGTGCTACGCCTAAAGTATTTACCAATCTATGGAATATACTGTTGAGTAAAGCAAGATGCAAAATCATTTCTTATATTTTTGGTTGTGAACCTGGCCTTTAACAGCTGAGCCATCTCTTGAGCCTCAAAATTATTTCTTGATGTTTCAAAACTTGTTTTTAAAGCCTTGATTTTCAACTTGTTCGATTTTGAAGCAGAAAACAGTGAGCTGAATCTATAAGTATCTCCTCTGTACTCCCATGGATTTCTCTCCTCAAATACCATGCAGACAGCCTTGCAAATGTACAAGCAAGACAGAAATGCCTGGGTTGGGTGGTTATTACACAAAACCCCAGGCCATCAGAGCTGAGCAGAGCCACACAGGCCTCCTGCTGTCTTTCATCTCTACCTCTTGGGGAAAAGCTTCCAGCTTTAAGAAAGAAATGTGCAATAGAGAAAAAGAGGCTCGCACACAACCTGCTTTGTCAATCAAAGTGCCCTTGACCAGCATCTTTCCTCATCTCTTTCCTCTAAACTACTTGTGGGAAAAGGTATTTTCCCTCAATGCCAGCTGTCAATTTAGGATAACTAAATAATAAGTATTCCTAAAATAGCTCCTCACAGGGTAGTGTAGACAGCCAATTAAGACCTCACATTAAGCCTTCCTCAAAGTGAATGTGAGAAGTGTTACCTTTTTGTCCAAAAATCATATTTATGGCCACATCTAAGTCATACAAACCTAGATCACAACCCATTTGGTGCCTTACAAAAACATCCTAAGTGGGCTGAGTATGTTCTTATAATTTAAACT